CAAGCTTTTCGTACCACCTAAGAGTCGGCTACGTTGTCATCGGGACATACTTCAGCTCCACGTGGTACAATACAACACGAACTTTCCTAGTTACCTGCCTCACACCAACTGGAAGTTGATGTTTATGGCAAAGGCTCGTCGCATGTTCTGGCATGATTATTCACACCTAGAGGGGCAAGGCGCAGACAAAAATCTGTGAGTATCGCACGACTGTTTAGTAGGCAAGGGAATACCTATTTTTCATAGCAAAGCTGACGTCTAACGCTTCAAGCGGTCCTTAATCCTTCAGCTATCGAACCTTGTACAATCCTCGCGGAATGCATCCACAAAACGCATTTGACGCAGCAACCATCATCACGTGTGCATCCACCGGACATTGGTAAGAGTACTGCTGAATGGTCTCAACAGCGCATTCTCTTAGCTTATGAATGCCTTCAAGCAAGCGATCACCGCTTCTGACCCTTGAAGCGGGAAGCTTCCTGACATTGCTGGGACCAACGATGACCATGCGCTAATTTAGATGGTGTAGTTGTCTCGAGGAAAGATAATTAGTAATTTTGTATCCCATCAGCACAGATAATTTAGTGTTTTTGCGACCCAATCGTCCGATTATCTACCAGTGTTTCCTAGTGCAATGCCGTACACTTCACTCAACAGAAATTTTAACTTAAACGGCGCGTTTGACGACTTGCATTGAATGGAAGCGTACCTTATACCCATTTGTAAAGTCGAAAGCCTATCAAGAAGCTTAATACAGTGTACATAAAACAGTAATATTTAGCTGATATAAAATACAATCGTTTGACTATACTCAGCAATAATTTGATGTGAGGCTAACAATTTACTTGCAATCCCACATTTTCGCCGTAATACAACGAAATTGCAATGTGAATTTGATAAACTGAAGAACTTTTACGCATTTATGAAGAAGAGATATTAGATTTGAGGTGTAAGTATAAAATGGTACAGTACGCACCCAGAAGCGGGGCTGCCGCAGCCCTTTGCTTAGAGGAAGCTGAGCTAATGTTACCGACATTACGTTCTATGCTAGAACCAATACGGGTGTTGCGGATCGCAACCCGCTATCTACAGGAGTACCCAAAACCTTTACTAATGTAAATACACATTCCTTTCAGATAAAAAGTGTTTTATTTGCGGCAGAGCCGCTTAAATCTAAAATCTTAGGTTTTGCTAGATAATACTTTTTTTATTGATATGCATAGGTACTGGCAGTATCGCCACGTAGTGGCTTCTTGTGACGGTATAGCCACACCATTGTGTGTTTACACTGATTTGTGGAATCCGCACCTTTGTATGGTCACACCATCTTGTGTCACCCAACCCTGTGTACTAGGGTACATGTAGTCCCGTTACGCTCTTCCCCATCATAATTGTGGAACCCACAATTTGCGTTTAAGTGTCGTCTCGTATGAGGCTCGCGTGCCTGAGACACAGTTACGTCCCTCGGACTATCATTACACAATCGCTGCTCAATGATCCCTGTTTCTGTGACGCGAAAAGCACCCAGCTTGGCTGGTTTGAAGGGCGCACGAGAGAACAGCCATTTTTCGACTTCTGTACGGGGTGCACCTCTGGGCAGGACGTCCGAGGCTTCACAGAAAGCCCATTCCATGCCCTCGGCAACTGGGCACCACACACACCGCTCGCCACGGCGACGAATTCTCTCGTCGAGGATTCGAAGTCGACTACGAGTCTGGAAGAAGAGGAGTGCAAGGTGCATCAACGGCGTGACGTGAGCCCTGCTCAAACCTTGCGGAGACTGTGTAAAGTGGTATGATTACCAATCGCCTCAGCGAGGCATTGGATAAGCGATTGGAGGCAACCCACAGGGCAGCTCTCATACGCTTGTATCCACGTTTGGTTCTAGGCCCTCGTGTGGAATACGGGTTCCGCTCGGCGGCTCCCGCAACTGAAGCAAAAGACATGATTACCCGATCGTTAGGCGTCTACGTAATCCGGCTTACGGCCACTTATCAAGCTGAGCTTGACCATCAAATGGCTCTTCGAACTCGATTTTTGGTACCTCAAGAAATCCCAATGCATAGGTACCGAGCTCGACTTCGCGCTCAAAGAGTAGGCGCTCCTGTACCCGCTATGCAGGCTGCTAGCCCCTAGCAAAACCGCTGCAGATGATGAAGAGCTCTTTGACCGATGAGTGCAGCGGCACCGGAAACTTCCTCGCTGTTTAACGTACAGCAGAGCCATAAGGAATTGGACGTGCGCGTAGAACGCTGTCTTCGCTTCGAGTGTGCTAAACTCAAGGCGCAACGTCGACTCCCTGCGTATTGTTGCCCTGCGAAATATGGAATAATCCATCGCGCTCCCCGCGAGCTCTGTGGTCTCAACGGGTAAGGCAACCACCAGGGCCATAGCTTAAGCTCATTTCATGGTCCTTCGGATTCCCGAACTGCCGCCGAGAAGCGCGGGGCGCACGCTGACGCGGAGCATCATGATCCGTCTGACCGTATGCGTCCACGACGTCTGGACAGTCTTGCCAAAGTGGCACCTTAATTTCCCACGAATTCTCGAAATTTGGGTACTTCACAAGATATCAGGTTTGACCCTGTCGACAACGTCGACCCACAAGGTTTTCCACGTGATAGTGGACGCCATCCATTTAAGAGTCGGCGGCGGACGATGGCGACTTGGTCGATCGCCGTCCGGTGGATCGAGATGCTCTTAGCTCTTAGAGCACTGGAGGACAAAGGCCGTCGTCATCGGCATTCCGCCGAGCATCCTACCAAGGTCGCATATTGCTGTGAGTTAGACCTAGAG